TATGTTAAAATATATAATATTATTTTTATTTTAATATAAAAATAAAAAATATTTATTAATAAAATTAAAAACTTTTATATAAAAAGAAAATTTGTATTTTATTATATTTTATTAATAATATATTTTGGTATTCATTTTTTATTGTTATTATACACACTTTTATAATAAATAATCAAAAATTCAAAAAATAATAAAATATAATAAAATTAAAATTATCTCTTTACAATAAAAATTTTATTTTTATTAGTAAATATTTTTTTATATTAAAATAAATTAAAAATCTGTATTTTAACATATATTTTTATAGATTTTTTAAATTTAATTTCAGAAATATTTCAAATTGTAAAGTTTATATAACTAATTTTATAATCTGAAATATTCTGAAATTAAATTTAAAAAATCTATAAAAAATATGTTAAAATACAAATTTTTAGTTTTATTTTAATATAAAAAAATATTTATTAATAAAAATAAAATTTTTAGTTTTATTTTAATATAAAAAAATATTTATTAATAAAAAATAAAATATTTATTATAAAGTGATAATTTTATTTTACTATATTTTTTTTATTTTCAGTAATTTATTGTAGGAATGTGTATTAAATATGCAAATTTTTAATATGAAAAAATAAGCAAATAAATTATTAAATATTATTATTAATATATAAAATTCTAATAAGTAAAAAAAATAAATTATTTATATAAAAAATACAAGGATTCTAATAAGAAAGAAAAAATTATCTATATAAAAGATATTTAAATATAATAAAATTTTTAATAGTTATATTTTCTTTAGATTTATTCAATTTTATTTTTTTTTAAAAATAAGAAATTTAATTATATTATATTTTTGTTATTTAATTAATTAAGTTAATTAATAAATAAATAAAAAGAGAAAATATATCAATCATTTTTCAATGACAAACATGAATATTTGTAAAATATTAAAATAAGTTAGAGCTTTATTAATTTTTAATAATTATAATATAAAATACTAGTAAAAAATAATATTAAAAATTTTGATTTAATATTAAAATTGTTTTTATATATTATGTTTATATTTAAAAAATTAGTAATATTATTATTTTATACTTATAAATATTATTATATTAGAAAATAAAAATATTAAATAAAAAAATTTTGAATAATATAATTAAAATATTATTAATTAAAAAATAATTTATTAGTTTATAAATATATTTTATATTAAATTTTTCAAAAATAAATATTTAAAAAATAAATTCAAAATATTAATAGATATTCACAATTATTTTAATGATAAAAACAAAAAAATTATAATTTTTATTTTAATATAATAAAAAAATTAAAAAAATAATAAATAAAAATATAAAAAGTTTTTTAGTTTTAGTAATATTATAATTACAAATAATTATTATATTTACTTTATTTTTTAGTATTAAATACAAATTATTGTACAAGTTAATATTATAATTTAGTATTTTTTATTATTTATTTATAATTTTTAATAAATATTTAATTATTTAATAAAAAAATTATTTTAATAATCATTTTAATAATATTTCAATATTTAATTTAATAATTATTTTAATAATTATAGTCAAATCTCTTTATAATCACACTTATTTATAGTTATAATTATTTTATTTATTTTTATTTACATATAAGCATAGTAAAAAAATATCTTTATAGTTATATTTTTTCTATAATCACCAAATTTTGCTTTTTTAAGAGTGTTAACTATAAAAATATCTGATTATATTTTAATAATCATTTAAAGAGCATAATTATTCTGTTTTATATCTATAAATACAATATGTAAATATTGAGTAATTAGCAAACAAGAAATTTATTATTTTTTTATTTATTTTTATTGGCTAGAATAGCTAAAATTTATATAATCTCTTATTTTAATTGTGAAATTATTATTTATTTTAATTGTGAAGTTATATTTCTTGTATATGACCTCTTGTCTTAATTGCAAAGTTATTTTGGTCGATTTAATAAATAAATAAATAATTAATGTCTATAAACTATTACTACAATTGAAAACATAAACACATTTACTTTTATTAAAATAAATAAACAAAGACATATTTTTGAAAAAAAAGCTTTTATCTCAAAATCTCCAAATGTTCTTGATCCAGATCCTAACCCATTACAAAAATTAAATAATATTTAAATACATAATATAGGATGTTGTAAGAAATGAACTCAAGCTATGTTGACGTCTGAATTTTGATGAAATTCCGTTGCTGCTGTCTCAATAAGTCAAGTTCACTTAATAACACTACGAGATACCATAAAAGTTCAATATCCTGGAGTGGCCAACCCTATCGATTCTGATTTTGATAATCTTAGAATATTGGTGACTTATCGACAAAAGGACTTTACCTTGAGATACGATAAAAGTTGCATGACGCGAGTTTGTAAGACAGAACAGATTATCTTTGTGAAGCGTGCTGATTTTGTTGAAGAATTTGACAACTACTATGGTTCTAATTGCAGCAAGGTATACTCGCAACATGGTAAAAATTATTCAATCCTTTTTAGTATCCTTGTATATTTATATCACTAATTTTGAATTATGTAAAAGATTTCTCAAAAGATACTTTATTTTTCTCTTCTGAACTTTTCGAATTTCGATTCATTCAGACCGATCTAAACTGGACGAATTTTTTGTATAATCAACGAATGAGAAATGTGATGACAATAACAAAACCTAGTATCACTTGTTCAATTAACTATTTATCAAGCGTTAACTATGTAATGATTAGATCGAATTACTTGATTTTGGAGCAGGTCAGGAGTTCAGTGAAAAATTCATAAATTTGTATCAGGAAGCGCTAAAAGCCATGGCAAAACAAGATTATGAAGAATACATTTATTACTCTGAACAATTAGAATTCCAGACTGGACTAGAAGCAAAGGTAATGCATTACTATTCATATAAAAGAAAACAAAAATTGAATATATTTAAGCATATGAAACGAGCACTGCCAACAATCGGCGCTTTTCCATTATATGATTTCTCAACACAAACAGTCACAGAACGTGTTCGTATTCTATTCCAACCATGTTGAAGCACCATTTGACTCTGCCCGATGAGACTTATAGACTGCATAGAAAATTATCAGGCACGTTTTTGTTATGCGCAAAAATGGGGGCAAAGATGTTAAGATATTTTCGATGATATTGTGAATCATAGGAGTGTTGCTTCTGCACAATGACATAAATAAGAATCATGCAAAAAAACATGAAATATCATATACAGTTACGTAATTCTGGTTGAGATTTTGGTGATGTTATATATCCAAATATTATTAATGTTACTTTATCCAATAATAATTAATATAAAAAAATTTTCTGGTACCAAGCAAATCATGTTACTATAACCAGCATATAAAGAATGTTACTATAACCAGCTCTGACTGTAACTGTTAATTTTTTGGAAACATTGACACGAATTATTGTAACTTACGGGACTCACGATCCAAACTAAACTGGCAATCTCAGCGGTGCCTTTAACATGATGCATTTTCTTATCTAAAAAATATTTCTCGACAAAGGTTTGCAGCGAGTAACTTTTTGAGTTGTCGGAGGTTTCGGCGAGATGGAACTAGTGTTTACATTCGAATGTTCGATTATGAACCGAATACGGATTAATCCGAATTTTGACTAAATTCGAATTACGTTTTTTCAGAAGTGAATATTCTAATGTCACGAATTGAATTAGGATTATATAATTCGGTAATACACGTGATATCATCAGAAAGTTGTTTTGATTGGATGTAATTAACATTATTTATCTGGCAATTTATATTACTGTCTTTTCATAGGTAGAATGCGCAACGATTTTAATTAGCAAATATTAAAAAACGTGTTCAAATAAATGATCGATTCAGTTACGAAATCGATCATGAGGATAAACCACGTGATATATTAGCCACAGGTACCGATCGTCTATAATTTCTTCCTGTAATATGAAAAATAAAAAGCAATTAAAAAAGAGAGAATTGGCAAAAAACTTTAAAAATATACTTGCATTCAATAAGTTCTTATAGTGCTTTTTTATTCTTCATCATAATAATTTATTGTTGTAAAAATGAAAGATTTGTCACTTTTGATCCAGAAAAAGTGAAATAATTGTTTTACAACTGTAATGACTGCAATTTGAAAAGATTTATGCTTATATCCAGAAAAAGTGAGTATTATTAACATTTGTGAATATTTAAATAAAATTTAATCAATGATTGAATACAACAATATCTGAAGATATTAACATGAAACTTTAGAAAAATCAATAATAAAATAATTTTAGTTTCTTATTCAAGTTACAGATTAATAATTAATTTCTATAATCAGCTCCTAATCTGTAACAATTACAACAAATAGACTATATGCAATAGCAGCAGCAAGTGGTTATGTACAATAAATATATATAATAGAAATAGTATAAATACAGTCAAATTCCTCTATAGTCATATTCATTTATAGTCATACCTCTTTATAGTCATCCTATTTTGCTTTTCTATTTACATATAAACATAATAAAGAAAATCTCTCTATAGTCACATTCTCTTTATAGTTATCAAATTTTGCTTTTCTGAGAGTGGTGACTATAGAGGGATTTGACTGTAATACAATTTACATTATTTAATACAAACTTTTCTTATAAAATAAAATATTTACTCTTCAATATTTTCATTTTTTATTTTTCAAAATAACAAAAATTTGAGAATCACCAAAGAAACTCGAATAAAAATAATTAAAACTATTTTTAAGAAAGTTATTGATCTCACTTTGTTCTTGATAATCTGTCATATTGCTTTATTTAATACAAAATCTATATTCAATAATCTATATTCAAGAAAATACAAAGTGAAATTATAATATTATTTAATCAAACAAACTATTTTCACGAAATTATTAGTTTATATAATAAAAATAACTTCAAATAAATTTTGTTCAATATTATTCACTTATTTTTCTCTACTTTCAATTAAAATTGAGTAATTATTTTGCAAATCATTTCAGAATAGAGAATAATACTTTTTGAATAATAATTATTCTGTCAGGTTTTTTAGATTTCTATACAAAATTGGTTATTATAAAAAGCAAAAATTAATATAGTACAGAAAGTTTAGATATTAAATGACTATATTATCACTAAATTTTTAAAGAAAAATTATTTTTATATAAAGTAAAATATAGAATATATATTTAATACTACAGAAAAAATAGTAATATATTTTTGCATAAAAAAATTTACCAATTAAAAGTAATTTATATAATATAATATGCACTGAAAATTAAATAAATATTAATAAAATAATTTTAAAAAAACTCTAACTACTTACTAATTTTATATTATATTAAATAAAAAATATGATATTTTATAAATTTTATCAAAAACTATATAATAATATATTTTTTATAATATATTTGTATTATATATAAATTCTTGTAATTTAAAATATTTGATATCTATAGATTTCTATAATATAATAAATTCTTTATTATAATTTATTACAAATGTATTATTTTTATATATAGTGAAATCTTTCTATAGTTATCACTTTTAGAAAAGTAAAATTTAATAAATATAGAGAAAATATAATTATAAAGAAATTTTTTAACTATATTTATATATAAATATAAAAATAAAGTAAAATAATTATAGAGGAGTATGATTTAGTATTACTATAAACTAAGGTTGCTTGCCGAAATCTCTTAGTGACTGTCTAAATTCTGTCGAAATTATAATAAACTATTAGTAAATAACCCGTCGAAATTCTGACGAATTTTGAAACCTGTCGTAACCGAAATTATGTCGAAATTCTAATTAACAATTAGTGTGTAACCTGTCGAAATTATGACGATATTTTTCTGAAAGGATTTAGGCAAGCATCCTTACTATAAACTAAACTAAATCAAACTTTTACCTAAATTTGAGTTTAATTCAAAATTTAAACTGAACTTGAATTGAACTTTGACTTGAGTTCAAGCAAGATTTAAAGCTTGAACTGAATTATTATATGAATTTGAGTCTGGTTTGAGTTTAATTAAAGATTAGCATATAGTATTATATATCAATTTGTAGCTCTAATTATAAGTTACAACTTTAATATTTACTTATAAACACAATTTATAATATTTAATAAGAATTAAAAGTTTATATAATGATAACTAAAGTATTTTATTTTTATATTTATTAAATTTTATTGTAAATGCTATTTAACTTTCTGAATAATTATTATCAATAATAACTATCTTATATTAATTTGTAGCTTTAAATATAAGTTACAATTTTATTTATAAGTACAATTTATAATATTTAATAAGAATTAAATATTTATAGTAATAACTAAAGTATTTTTATTTTTATATTTATTAAATTTGATTGTAAATACTATATAATTCTCTGAATAATTATTATTAATAATAATTATTATTATTAATATTATTTTATATCAATTTGTAGCTCTTATTTTTAACTAAAATATTACTTATAATTATAGTTTATAATTACTATAGCAAAATAAATATTTATTATACTAAAACAAAAGCAGATTAAAATTATAATAATTAAAATTATTTTTTAAATTCATATAATTTCTTAAATATTTATTCTAAATATTAATCATTGTATTTCAATTTGTAGTTTATTATAATCTATAACTTTACTTAGAATATCAACAAATATTTACTTGAACTTGAGTCTAATTCAAAATTCAAATTGAACTCAAATCAGACTTTTAATTAGATTCAAATTTTCAAATTAGACTTTTGGTCAAATTCAAGTCTGGTTCAAGCTCGAACTAAATCAGATTCAAATTAAATTAGATTTTTTTTCAGAATCCTAATGACTATAAATAAATGTAATTATAAAGTGATTTAATTATATATTAATATTTACTTATACTAAATAATAAAAATAATAAATTACAAGTTTAATATTATTTATATCTATTTTCATTTCAAAAATTATTATTGTAATTATAATACAAATTTTTTATTCTATTTATAAAAAGCATATTTTCTTGTTTTATTTTATATTTTTAAATAGAAAATATTTAGAATTGCTGATTTTAAATATTGTATCAACAATTTTAAAAGATTATTACAATTTTTTGTCAAGTATAATAAATTATTATTAATTTTCTTTAATAATTCTTTGACAAATTTAGTTTTATTATTTTGTTTTTTATGTATTTTATATTGTAATTTTAGATATATTAATATATTTTCTAACTAATAAAAACTGATTCAGATTTATTTAAAGATTATTTAATATTAGAATATTAATAGAGCATGATTTTTATATTAAAATATTTTTATTTCAAGCTTTTTAACTATTTTCACAACTTTTCAAAAATAATATAGAATAATTTATACTATTTTTGAATTAATTATATAGATAAATATTAAAATTACTAAATTTAAAAATATAATGAGTCTTATTAATAATTATTTATAATTAATATTATATAAAAATTTTTTATTATGTACTAATATATAAAGTATTAAATAATTTAATTAATAATTTATTATATAATATAATTTAGTTTTATTATATATTAAAATCTTTAAGTAATCAAATTTATAAAATTAACTAGCTAATCAATTAATAAGTAATACTGATTATTATATATATTATATTTTTATATAGAAAAAAGCTTATAATTTTATAAAATTATATATATTATTGTATAATGACCTTTCATCATAATATTTTATTGGATTATAAATATCTCATATCTTATTGGATAAAGATTATATCAC